TCTCATCGTGATTGGGATCGCCAGGATGAGTGATTTTATTTTAACTTATGAAGAGCAATTTAACCCATGTAGAATGAAAGTACCCAAGACATTCAAACCTACGTGGGCACAACGGATAACGGATCAGGAGATTCCCTGTTCGAATACTGGCTGGCTCGATCTATTCGCATTTAACCATTTTACTCACAATTAAATTATTGTCAGAACTATAGTTCCAGTCCTCCGTACCGGGACCTCATTTAAATATTATAGTTTAAAAACACTACATTCATTGACATTCATTTTCTCGTCAATAATTTATTTTGAATTAATTTATTTTGAAGGTTGGGAAAAAAAGTAATTAGCTTCAAATGATCGAGTTTGAAAAGGTTGTAAAATAAAATATTGCTAATGTTCGAGATACAGAGGTCCAATTTTTTTTTTTTTTTTTTTCCGAGTTACGGAGGAAAAATATATACCAAAATGGCTTGTGGTGATTGACTCATTATTTCGACTTATAGAGGGTTGAAATTTCGAGTCATGGAGGTTTGGGGGCTTGAAGGGAAAGGAACAAAAAAATGTATTCGAGTTTTGGAGGTTTTCGACTTATCGAGGTTCGACTTAAAGAGATTCTATTGAATTAGATTTAATTAGAAGCCAGTAAGATTTTGTCTCACTCTCAACCAAGCTCAAGGACACTCGTAGGGGGATTTGCAGACTCCTAGTCAAGAGTTCATGAATCACAAAGATTAAGATAATCTCAGGAATCCTGAGACTCCCTAGTGGATTCTTCAGATATTCCAGTTCCTTATTCCGAGTTTCCATTCTACTAGATCACTCTCCCCCCTCCCCTTCCATTGTGCAAGTAGGAGGGGGGATGCAGTTGGTGGTCAAATATTGACCAGCTCATCGCCGAGTGACCGCAGTTCGAATCAATGGCAGTCTCGAAGAAGCCCGTCCGAAGGGGAAGGAATGCAAATGAGAGGGGCTTCCCGGAGGCATCGGCCCACATTAAGTGCACCCCCCAACACTTGAGCGGAATAATTCACTGTAACCGCTCTGCGTGCGCGGCTATTGACGGATCCGAATATAATGCCTCCTCGCTCATCGATACAGGCAGACGGTTGCAGTTTCAATTGCAGGGCTCTCGCAAGGTGAAAGGACTCGCTTTGCACGGGAGCAGACCAGGCCACAAAAAGTGCTGACATACCTAATTAAGATTTCTTCAAGGACAATTAAAAGCAAGGATTATTAAAATATAATAATAAATAGAATGAAGAAACGTTGTGGTAAGATTTGCCTGTGTGGCATAATAGTGCGACAAGAAGGTAAAGGCTCGATTCGCGCTGGTGGAGGTGACGGTATAATAAATGCTTTGGAAAAGGAATAATCTCTGGGCCTGAATGGCCGAGTGGCTAGCTCTCGGGCGCTCGGTGCCACTAGTTTTGGGTTCGAGTCCCGGCGGTCATGGATGTTTGTGAGTGGTTCGGTATCCACGTTAAACTGTAGGTCCCGGTCTATTTAGCCCAGAGAGTGCATAACATGACCATAGAGCGACAAACCAAAAACAAACCGTCCATGAGTAGATTACTCATGGGATGTCTCTCCTGCATTTCAGGACACTGAGGATTAGGCACAACACAACAGGATTGGTTTTGTTTGGTTTGTCGCTGTACGGTCATCTTGTGCACACGAGTGCTAAACTGACAAGGACGTACAGTCTTAAAGTGGATTCTGAACCACTACAAACATCTACGGTTTTACTGCGACCAGAACCCAAAACATGTGGCACAGAGCGTTAGACACTCGGCCATCAAGTCCCTGTATTTGCAGTTGTGTTTTCATTGACACGACTCCAGCTGACTCATTTGAGGAGTTCATTGCTGACTATCCAAATGCCTGGCTTATTTGGATCTCTTCGCCCATCACGCCTTCGACGTTACGAAGAGTGTATTACTGTGGCTGATTGCCATTTTTGTATACTTATTAAAAACAATGAATCAGAGAAGCACTTTGCAATATTGTTGTCAATAAACAATTTTTGTGGGTTCATGCCTCAATGCGTCACTTCCGCCCCTACATTCCCATACAATAAAAAAAAAACATGTTTAAGTAAGTTGTATCATCCCTCAAATTTTGTCCCATGACCGTTGAACCACGCTTTATATATGTGTGTGTTTCAACGTTCAGAAACTGAAACAACCTTTAAATAGAAATCTACCCAGACGATAACTTTAGCGCGCAATGAAGGAATTGAGCTGTTTATCTCGTTATTGGGGAACAGTCAACCAACCTTTTCAGGATTCGTCGAAGTATCAAAATTAAAACCAACACTTAATTCTCCCATTTTTTTGCACGAAACTCTTCGAAAGAGTCAAGAGACTCACTTCACTTCATCTCTCTCCCCCCCCCTCCTTTTCCTTCCCGGGTGTGCTCCATTCGTCTCCCCCTGCCAATAAAAGGAGTTGTCCTCTGTTCATCCATGTATCTGACGCCCCTAATTACTCATTAGGGCGCTCAATAAGACACCACAACACGGACGCCCCTGTTTTTTTTTTTTCCTTTTCTTGTGCGCCCCCCATCACTTGGGGCGTCTCCTGTGCTAATTGGAGTCACGACTCCCCGCGCGGAAAATAGGGGGGGAGCACTTGTCTTGGGCAACTGCTCCCCTCATAACTCTTTTCTCCGGGAGTTCCATTTTTATCAATTGGCGAAAAAGGTTACGCAGAAGAGGGAAGGATACCCATCCCAGAGCGCCAGTTCGTCGTCGTTGCACATTTGCGACTCGAAGCACCCTTTTGCATTCTTCCTATTCTATCGGTTTGAAGGACAGTTTATTTATTTAGTTAGTAGTAAAAGAATTTGGGGTTGTTCCTTTCAGACTTTTGCTTCAGAGATATTTTCAAAAATAAACCTTCAATTCTTCAAATGAAATAAATTCACCGAAGAAGTTTATTTTTGTTTCCATTATTAGTATTATTTAACAAAAGCCAATTTTATGACGCATTTGTTGGCCGCTAAATGCAGAAGAATTCTAAAGGAATGAATGTTATATACTTTTATATTATTGTTATTCGGTTATATACTGTTGCTATATATTATTCGACTATATACTGTTACTATACATTGTTCAACTACATACAGTTACTATACATTGTTCGACTACATACAGTTACTATACATTGTTCGACTACATACAGTTACTGTACATTGTTCAAATAGTGTTGTTATATATTATTCGATTATATACTGTTATATATCGCTCGATTGTACACTGTTACTATACATTGTTCAAGTATTGCTCAATATACTGTTACTATATATTGTTGTTATACATTGTTGAAATATTATTGTTATATATTGTTCGACTATATACTAATATATTGTTCGACTACATACTTTTAGCTATATACTATATTTACCTACGAACGAGATCGAGTTTGAGGAAGCATTTCAGAAGTCACACCCAAGAAAGGCCCTATGCGTGTGAAGTTTGCGACAAGAGGTTCTCTCAAAAATCTACTGTAAAGCGTCATTTGTTAACACACAGCAATGCGAAACCCTATGTTTGCGAAATATGTGATAAAGGATTTCCCATCAAAGGAACTTTATCACGTCACATGAAAACTCACACGAAAGTAAAATCTTCTGTTCTTCCTGCAAATGCTGTGTTTTGAATGAAGATCGCAGCTTCGCGCCAAGCAGAAATACGAAGAGTTTGTATGTATTTCCTTTTCATCTATTCTAGCGTTTTAAAAATGATATTGTAAAAAAATCCTGTTTGGATGGATATTTTACTTTTATTAACTTTCATGTATCCAATTTAAGTCATTCAATATATTTTTGTAAAGCTTTATCTATATTCATTTGTTTATAAGTTTCTAGGTTTCTGGACCCATACGAATGAAGGCAACTGCGTGCATCTCTTACTGGCTAAACTGTGAAGAATTTGCTCAGAAAAATGTTATTAATTTGTATACATTGAGTAGTATTCTTATGCCAACGGCCGTACCATGCTGAATAAACCGGTTCTCGTTAGATCACCGAAGTCAAGCATCATTGGGCGCGGTCAGTACTTGGGTGGGTGACCACCTGGGAACACTGCGTGCCGTTGGCAAATTTGGGACCTGAATGGCCGAGTGTCTAGCGCTCTGGCGCTCGGTGCCACAGGTTTCGGGTTCGAATCCCGGCGGTGCCAAGGATGTTTGTAGTGGTTCGGAATCCACTTTAAGCCGTAGGTCCCGGTCTCCTATGACTGTAAGAGCGTCACGGAGCAAAAGTCAGGCTTCTACCTACGGGGTGCTCCATCACAACAGAAGCTGCTTCCTTCCCCTTCAATCATGAGTACGTATGGGCTCGTGGGCTTGGCCAGCCAAGTGGGATAAGAAACAACAACCTACGAACGACATGGAATTTTATTTTCTTCCATGCATTTTTTGATAACGTCACGGACCCTTAAACGGGGCAACATCGTGTTCAAGCAAGATTTAAAAAAAAAGTAAAATTTAAAAAAAAAAAAAAAAAAAAAAAAAACACGCGCAAATACGCTTAAATATCCTCTGCAAAAAAAAATTAAAATTTTGCACACTCTGCCGCAAAAACCGCATACGTTTTATCAATTAAATCTGTCACTGAATCTTTCTTTGGCATTCCGTCATGAGCATAATAACGACAAAGAAGATAATTTAGTGATGAAACGGCTGTCAATGGACCATTGCTACTCAATGTGGTTATATCATTTTAGCAGCCACGGCAAAGTGCTCTGCCGAAAAGAAAAAAATTTCCAAATATCCATTGGCCTTTTGTCCGATGATGACGCCATGTCAAGTAATGGATTGTCTCAAAATCTGCAGATAAACAGATCAAGAAAGGTTCACCCCCTTCCTTTCATCCATTCATAACATGAAGCACAAAAACATTATTTTTTTAACAAATACTGGTGATATTTATGTGCATATACATAAATATCAACGGTAATATTTATATATACGTATTTATATTTTATAGTTTGGTTAAACATTTGCGCAGCCCGGGAGTCGAACCCGAGTCACAAGAATAGGAATCTTGCATGATACCACTACTTTAGCGGCGCACATTATATTTTTTATATATATATATATCTATATATATGTTGTGGATCAGCTGGCATATATGTTCATATATGTTGTAATGCAGCTAGCAATACAGAGACAGTTAATCTTTATGCCATAAGCAATGGCTGCACCGTTATTACTCATTGAGTACGTCCCAGGGAGCACTTGTATCTTGAAGATATGTTCTATTATTATAATTAAATGTTGTTACAAATCCCAACAGTGCAGTAAAGCCTACATCAGGTCGAAAGGACCCCGTCGCAGGCGACCGGCCCGTGACTAAGGGTAAAATGCAGCTTCACTTTTAGCTAGGAACCACGAGGACTGAAGACTGACTCAACCTCAAGACAACGCTCTACGATCCTATTAGACCGGGACCTACGGTTTAAAGTGGATTCCGCACCACTACAAACATCCATGGCACCGCCGGGACACGAATTCGAAAACTGTGCCAGAGTTCGAAAACTGTGCCAACCGAGAGCCAGAGCGCTAGGCACTCGCCTGTTTCGCTGGGCCTGTTTCGTTAAACATCAGTTTGTTGGGTAGACATTTAATTGTTGGCTAAAAACAACAGTTAAATTAGCTATCATAATTAATTGGGCCCTTGTGCCGACCAGCCTACAATACTTATAATCACCCTCTCCAACATATATATATATATATATATTAAGGATGTTTAAAAATATTTAATATTTTCGAGTTAATATAAGTTAGCAGATAGATAACAGAAGGAACAAGTAATATATAAAAAAAAAACTAAAATTTATTAATTAAATCTTATTGCTGAATTAAACTGTTTTAAGACTCTGTGTCATCCACCGCAAGTTAAAAAAAATGCATTTGAACTCGAGTGGATGAATAAAAAGTGTTTTATGAACGATTGAAAATGTGAACAAGATATATAGAGGGAGAGTGTCAGGTAATAAAAGGAATTGAAAAAAAAAATACTAACTCTACCTCACACAAATCTATTTTATAAGCAAAACAATTATTAAACTATTCATTTATATATTATAAAAACAATTATTCAAAAATCAGTAACATCCACTGAACAAACTCTGCGTCCTTCGAAGCTTCCTTGCAAGCAGACCGCCCCCCTGAAATCTTGCGGGGCGCGATCACCTCGGGGCTGCACTTGTTAGGGGAAGTTTATGGAGCAGCCCTGTCCCATCCAGCGTAAATGATGACCTCCCGGACTTACTTCCGATGGAGTCTTGCGAAGAGAAATTTCACCCTTGCCTGCCTCTTAATTAGAAGACTTCCCTTCCCCCCATAAATATTTAATTAACGCTTCCCTCCCCACCCGTCCACCCCTCCGCCGGTGGCATTTTTGGGAAGCGTCCAAAAGCCGACCGCGGCGCATTTAATAGCCATTTAATGAAGGGCGGAATCTCGGTTTCGGTATCGGGCAACACGGAAAAATCGTTTGCCACCGTTCGAAAGAAAGGGTAGGAAAAAAAATTAATATTTAAACCAAGGGTGGCCAACACAAATGATCTTGCGGACCACTTTAGAAAAGTTAAAAAAACAACTGTAATCTGATCGGCAAATTTCAACTTATGTGTGAACGTTCGAGAACGGATGAGTAAACTCAGGAATATAACAATGCTTAATAATGCAAGAGATTCCTTCCATTCGAATCCCTTCTATTAGCTCACACTCTCCCTATATATATCTTGGTGAAATTTTCTATCGTTCATAAAATACTTTTTATTCATCCACTCCAGTTCAAATGCATTTTTTTTTGAACTTGTAGTGGATGTCACGTGATGTTGATACAGTTTTTTTCAAATATTAATTCATTCATTAAATTTAATTAATTGATTTTAGTTTTTTTTTTCAGATTTAAGTTGCCTGTATCTACCCATAGAGGGCACCAGATAAACTTAAAAGAAATGATTGAAAATTGTTTATAAACGACTTTCTGCAATAAAGTGAAAAAAAAAATAGGAATTGACTTTAAAATTTTTTTTTTTATTATTATTATTATTATTATTATTTTATTATTATTATTACTTGTTAATTCTTACATCGAAAAGTGAGCTGGCGCAGGGGTAAGGAAACTAATCTACAACCGCAAGGTCCAAGGTTCGAATTTAAGCCCAACTCCTTTCGCTATTCAGCTACGATGTCCACCTTAGTTCTTTTCTGTCGAATAGTAACTACAGTTAAGTTTTTTTTTTTTTTTTTTTTTTTTTTTTCTCGACACTTTTTTTCTATAGAAAATAAAATGACTACACTTATAAATAAAAAAATAAATAAATAAAAGTTGAAAAACAACTGAAATCTACTCGGTAAGTTTGAACTTATGTGTGGTCATTCGAGAACGGAATGAATAAACTCAGGAATATGCCAATGTTTAATAATGCACTAGATATAGCACGCAATGGATTGGAATGCTACAAGAATGGACAAATTCAAATAGCCACATGAATATAGCAATGTTTGAAGTATTCCCAATTCTACAAGAAACACTATAACATTCAATAGGCAAATGAATGCATCGAAGTTTGAAGATTCTAGGAATAATTGAAGAATGAGGTATTCCAAATTTTACAAGAATCATTATCACAGTCGATAGTCAAAAGAATATATCAAATGGTATATGGATTGCTTTTTATGTCATTCTTTTATTTTGAAAGTAAAAATGTGTATTGTTTAAAGACAGGGGTGGCCAACCCAAATGATCTTGCGGGCCACTTTGGAAATGCATCAAGACTCTGCGGGCCGCATATAAAATTATACATCACAATATTAGATTTAGCTGGCCCGCCTTGTATATTTTCCTGGCCCGTGACATTGATCACACTTTAACAAAATAATAATTAAATAATAATTTATTTTGTAATGTCCAAAGGAGTAAAGACCAATATATTAAGAAAATGGATTATGTGTGCATCCATCTATTCAAAAATGAACTGCCGAAATAATATGAAAAAACTAATCTTTAAAATAATATTATTGCGAATATAGGACAGATAGTGCCTTTAATATTGATGAGTGTACAATTATGAGTTCGAAGAATAATTAAATTTAGTCTGCGAACTCATGATGTGCGCGCATCTTGGAACATCTACTATAGCAGGTTCTATGTTTCACTTTAAGTGACCTCCCTAGATACGTACAGTTGATTGTTATCAGAGTAAACCAGACTCTCAGTTGAAGTTGTTAGCACTTTTGGTTCAACTCACACCTACGACTTGTTTCATTCTAAAATGAAATGGACCCAACACAAAACACTCTCAAACATAACGGACGCTAACCTGCAACACCCATTACAATGTGCAAATACCCAAGTTGAGATCGATTTGCAAAAGCTAAGGGAAATTGTTATCGATTTGCAAAAGCTATTGTTATAGGAGAAAAGTTAAATTACACGGACGAAATAAAATGAAATCGTTAAAAATATAATAAACTGGAAAATATATGCTGCATTTAAATATTTTACACCAGGGTGGTCAACTCAAATGATCTTGCGGGCCACTTTAGAGATTCTTAAAACTCCGCGGGCCTGCATATAAAATTATATATTCCACATTAGATTTAGACCCACTACAAACATTTTTTCGGAGTGAAAAATTGAAACAGAATGAGTTATTATTGTGTTTATTAAATGTAAATGCGTTTACTACGTTATTATTACATGTAAACATGGATAATAATAAAAAATATTGATACTAAACGCACATTGTAAAGAAATGTATAACATTAAAAATGAAATATAAAAATAAATAAATTGAAATAAAAAAAAATTAAATCGTTCAAAAATATTTATTTTATGAGTGCGATATTTGTTTCTGCGAACAAATATCGCATTCATAAAATACTGTAAAGTCACAAATAAAACAGGCAATATCTGTCATACATTCGCAAGAATATTATTTTATAATCAATAAAAAAATTTTTTTTTTCATAATTTTGGCAGTTAATTTTTGAATAGATACAAAATAAATAATTTTTCCACTATAAAATAAATATATTTTGTAAAAGTGTGATAAATCTCAAGGGCGGAAAAATATTCAAGGACGCCCGCGGGTCTAATGGGCCCTGTCTAATGGTTCGAAATAATTTACTCCATGTTTTATATAATAAGATGAACTACTATATATATTGACTATATAAATTTATACTTTATTATACTATATATATTTACACTTTATTTACGATGCTCACTGGCCGTTTCTCACACCACCTTCATTAAACACCCAATCTCAGCACCATTTGTAATTGAATTCTCTAAAACAGATAAACTCAATCTCAGCGTTCATTGACATTCTCGTAATTTCTCAGACGAATAGATATACCCAATAACGAAGAGTCGGCCAAAACAAATCAACCAATGATCACAAGATGGATACATTAGGAAACTTGATGTACCGCCCGTCTACCAGAAGTAGAGGCCAAAGAGATGTGTCACCCGTGCAACTCTGCTTAGACTCAACCGCCAGGATTCCATCTCCCTGGGACACGGATTACCCCACATGGCAAACACGGAAGTAAGAGAACTAAGATTTTTAATGAAATCAAACAAATCATAAGAAAAAAGCTAACACAAAAACAGCATTGCTAGTCAAATTAAAACGTTCCCTAAGAATAAAAATAGACAGTATGCAGTACAAAAAATAAATTTCAACACAAATAGGATCTAAATTCTGAAAATATATATATAACATATGAAGATAACTAATCATGACAAGCTATTGCGAAAATGACGAGGTTTGTAGTCTCAACGATGTAAAAGGAAAGCAAGAAGACAAAAGAATGGATCACATAGTTGGGACACCCGTATACATTTATATAAGAAGATGTATTAAGAAGATGATTTATATATAAGAAGATGCGAGAGGTTTTTAGGAGTAACTATTTCACGTGTCAAATCGGAGGGAATCCGAAACCTCCAAGTAGGTAGCGCGGCCTGGTTGGCAAGCGCTTTGACCTTTGGTATGGCAGGCTTCAGGTTCAGATCCTGGTTTGGTTTGTCTTTCTACGGTAATTTTGT